TACGAGAGAAGTCTATGACATTTATTGTTTCTTCTAAGAACAGAAAAGTCTATTTTGAAGGAAAAGTTCACTTCACTTGCAAAAGTTTTCCGTTAAGCAAGAAAATTACTAATTTCTCACCAGCCACACTTCTTCCTAACACATGCATTTCAGACAAATACAAATACTGATAGTGTGCCCGTGAGGCCGAGTCTCTGAACATTACGATTCCAGCAATTGAAGGAGAACCCAAAATCACTTAAAACGGTTTGCCATTCTTGTAGTTGTATTGTATCAAACAAGTGTAAAATAGACATTCATTTGTAAACCTATACGTTCCCAGGAAGGCTAATCTCAGACGAAGTAAACAAACCCTATTCACTGAAAATAAAATTTGGAAACAGCGTGATGGTGGTAGGGTTTACCTCTGAGAACACATCCATACCAAATGGAGGAAGCTGGGCCTACGTGAATATCGCCGAGGAGGGAGGCACTGGGGGCCACAAACGCATCCTTGTGAACGGAGGGACATTTGTCGAAGAGATTCATCAGAGGTCGATGCCTAGAGACTGTAAATTTGAAATCGAGATAAGAATCATTGAAGATTGAAATGAAACCCAGATTAAATGGAAATGAAAATGAAAAGTTGAAGGAAATCATACGCTGTTCTTGGAAGAGGTAGTTGCCTTGGAGGCGAGAGCCAAGACGATCGATGGCTTGGCCGGTCTCTCGGATCCAAAATCCGACGGCGTAGAAAGCTCTGCCTAAGGTTCCCATTCTGCTATTACTAGTGGTTCGGGTACTGCCGCTTCACTTCTGCTCCGATCTTCTCTTCTCTCTCTCTCTCTCCTTCTCTTCTCTCTTCACTCACACCTCTAATTTCTGGAAAACATTTTCACTATTTACATNTGTAAACCTATACGTTCCCAGGAAGGCTAATCTCAGACGAAGTAAACAAACCCTAATCACTGAAAATAAAATTTGGAAACAGCGTGATGGTGGTAGGGTTTACCTCTGAGAACACATCCATACCAAATGGAGGAAGCTGGGCCAACGTGAATATCGCCGAGGAGGGAGGCACTGGGGGCCACAAACGCATCCTTGTGAACGGAGGGACATTTGTCGAAGAGATTCATCAGAGGTCGATGCCTAGAGACTGTAAATTTGAAATCGAGATAAGAAGCATTGAAGATTGAAATGAAACCCAGATTAAATGGAAATGAAAATGAAAAGTTGAAGGAAATCATACGCTGTTCTTGGAAGAGGTAGTTGCCTTGGAGGCGAGAGCCAAGACGATCGATGGCTTGGCCGGTCTCTCGGATCCAAAATCCGACGGCGTAGAAAGCTCTGCCTAAGGTTCCCATTCTGCTATTACTAGTGGTTCGGGTACTGCCGCTTCACTTCTGCTCCGATCTTCTCTTCTCTCTCTCTCTCTCCTTCTCTTCTCTCTTCACTCACACCTCTAATTTCTGGAAAACATTTTCACTATTTACATCAATTTTGTACAGACCAAAAAAATAAATTAAAAGCCACTTCCATAGATTTAGAAATTTCATTTACCTTTTCAACAACAAAAAAAAGAGAAATTCACCTTCTTACAACCTGCTCCCTTTGTTTGAAATTAATACTGAAGGGTTGTGATTTAAGAAAATGTAAATAAAGGCTACTTACTCCCTTTTTATTAAAAAAAAATAATCTCTAGTTTGGGATGTGTTGAAAGTAGTCATATCTTTATTTGAATATTATTGTCTCTTATTTTATAAAAATGGTTCAAATTGATCTTTTTGACTTATGGGACGTTAAAAGTATAATGGTGTAATGTCCACTTTATTTAGTCATAAATAACCTATCTAGTCTAGTTATATGGTAACTAATCAAATTGATGTGGCAATTGAATATCATTTTCTGAATCCAAACACACTGTTCTTCTTGAAAGATTCTATTTGAATGTCTCTTGTCTTTAACGAGTCTTATCAACCAAACCAAAAGACTATGACTCTTGATAATCTCCAACTTGGAGCCACAACATAGTGTTTCTCCTCCCTTTTTTTCTGACTTAAGAGTGTTTCGCAACAAGAAGATTTCAGATTGTAGTGTTTTGGAGTTTCCTTTTCTTATGTTTGAGATCTTGCAAATTTTAGAGATTTCATATTAGGGTTTTGAATCAAGGTTGATTTTTATGTTATTGGGTTTTTTCTTTGTTTGCGAATTGAGTTTCTTTTCTTGGGTTGATTTCGCGTTTTAGGTTTTGGTGTTCATTATCTTACAATTTGGGATTTCTCTTTACCTTGCTCCCTGTTTTCAATTGCTTTGTGATTTCAGTGTTTAATGTGTTGGGTGGTGGTGGAATGGTAACTCCCCTTTGTTTTTTGTATTTTTTATGCGTGAATGGACAGAGGAGAAAGGGAAAGAGATTGGAGATTTTGGATTATGACCGTGTGAGTTTTGAGAGTGTTATTGTGTATGCGTTAAACTTGAAAAATGATGGTGGTAGAATGGTATGTTGATTGTGGGTTCAAGATGAAGAAAGGGGTAATGGGTTGTTGTTTTTCCATTTGTACAGGTGAGATGTGATAATATTTGTGTTAAAAGAATGAAGGTTTATGGTGATGACGAAGATGAAGAAAAGGTAGATGATAGACATGGTGAAGGAAAAGAAAACTTCTTCAATTTTTATTTTTACTTTTATTACAAAACTGGACACGTCATTCACTTCTGACCAGATGGACAATTACGCCCTTAGATTTTTAATGTTGTAAAGAGAAAAAATCAACTTAGACCGATTTTACAAAATATGAGACAATAATAAAATAAGTTATTAAAAAAATATACATGCATTATTACGGAGTAGCTTTAGGAAGTGAGATAAAATATGAAAAAAATTATAAATTCATTTTTTAATTTTAAAAATTAACGTGAAATATTTCACGTTTTTACACTAAAGATATATTTTACCTATAAAGTTGAAACGAGTTCTATTTTTTGGTAATGTATATTAAAAATTATTTATCTTTCCATAACATTAGATTTTGAAGTCGTGTTTGGATATTCATTTGTAATTTTTTAAGCAGAAAATTCAGGTTTCCAAACGTAACATGTAGAAAGAAGAGAAGGAGTGGATTGTTGTCCTATTAATCTCAGACTAAGTTCTACGCATACACTTAATCAGTCTTATACACATTTTAGAGGGAAAAAATTATTTCCTAAACAGTGAGCACTACTACTTTTTTTTTTCTTGAATCATAGAAAAATGGATTCTTAAGTTAATATTAACTAACACTACTAATTTTTTTCTTGAATCGTATAACCTATTTCACAACTTACATAAACTATAATGTATATAGATCTTTTTAACAAATAGTTCTGTTAAACAAAATAATTATACTTAACATTAACATGAACTTTTAAATATGCTTCTTCTCTCTTTGAATGAAACTTAGGGAACTGGGTCCTATTTGAAATTTGAAACTTCATAAAACAATTGTTATAAGACCATGTTAAAATAAATAAAAAACAACTCTATAAGAAGTTGTAAAATATTTAAATGTTAAAATTTAGTAAATGATTTTGTGATTGAGTTAACTTAATTAAGTTTTAATTTATTTCTAAATTTGAGTTTTTTTAATGATTTAATTAAGGTTTAAATATTTCATAAATTTAAGTATTTTTATTGATTTAATTAAGTTTTAAACTCTCATAAACTTATATATTATCAAATACAATTTTTATAATTTTCAATGAGCTTGTGTCGTTTAGTTTTTTTTCCTTGATTCAATTAAATGATTGTTATTTTGTCTCGTATGTTTTTTTTTAAATGTTAAAATTTTTTATTTTTCTAGTTAATATAAAATAATATAAAAAATATTTTTTGTTTTATATTATTACAAAATTATTTTATATTAACTACAAAACTCACATTTCTTGACACAAGAAAAAAAAACGAGATGACAAATAAGATAATAATCATGTTTCTTCTCATTTAACAAAAGAAATAAGTTGTGGAGTCTCAATTAAAAAATATAAATATTTTGAGTATTCAATAGACAAAAACAATTTAATAGAAAGTAAATTGAAAATATCTAGATTTATCACTAACTCAGCTTACTTAAACTTAATTAAGCCAATTTTAATCAATTCTCTATCATTTTGTTTTGTTTACTAAGTATCAAAATTTATATATTTTTCATATGAGGATTTGTCATTTAATTTTTCATTAACTACGAGATGTAGTGTTATCTTGTCCTATCATTTTATTTATGTAGAAAAATGTTGGTCAACATAATTATAAGTAATGACATGAAACTCGTCAATAAATATGATGATTTCGTTACATAACATACTTATAATAAAAACAATAAAAATCACTCATTATTTTACATTATCTACAATATCATTATCTACATATCTTCATATTTTTTTAACATATGAATATAAGAAATTAGATGAAAAAACAACATAATAATATCTACTCAATTAAAAAATATAAAATTTAAGTATCTTATAAATTAAAAAAAATCTAATAAGCCCTCAATTAAAAATCTTCAAATTTAATATATTTAAAAAATCAGCAAAAATACCTTTGAGTGTAAAAAAATTGGAATCTAAGAAAATCTCATTTGGATAGAGTAATGGATTCTTAAAATTAATTGTGGTAAAACTAATTTGGTAAAAAGTAGGCGTTTCTTTTTAACTTGCCCATCATGAAAATGCTGATTGTAAAATGAATTTCTTCAAAGTTTCAAAAGCATACGCATTTTTACACGCCAGAATATACTATTTTCAGATAATTTTTTTTTTGAAAATTAACTTTCTCAAAATCTAATCCAAGAGGTTAATTTAAAGACACTATGCGTGTTTGTGGAGACCCGCATACAACGCAAGCCATATTTTTCTGTCAAATTTAAAGAGAAAACGAAGAAACCATTATTTGTAGCATCCATAGAAAAAAGAAAAATCAAACATGCACTAAAATTAGGAAGTTGCTTAGCCGAAAACTCATCTGGGTTGATTGACAGATAGGCTTTCAGGAATAGTGGCTTCAATATTTGAATCAAGTTCATTATTTGGTGGCACTATAAACGCATCTCAAAGCAGGAGAACTAGACACTGTTGTGTCTAGAGCCGAGCAGCACAAGTGCCATAACACTATGGAACGGAAATCACAATGTTTATGAAGTTGTATTCAAATTTGACACAATTGATTAGAGGTCACTGAAATTGGGTGGAGTTTCTAAAGAAGTTAGTGCCTCAAGCTTTCAACTATATAAGCTGCATACAAGTCCCTGCAAAAGGAAACACCCATTTTAAAAAATAGAATTAAGCATTCAAGATTAGTGTCAGATATCCCAAATAGATTCAAAATTTGAGTCCAGCAAGGAAAGTATCTCACATGGAGTATTTGATGGCATCAACGGCAGCTTCAGATGGTAGAAAGTCCTCAACGTCAACCTTTTTGTTTTCATTTTTCTTGTCTAGTGTGATAAGTTAAGGATACTCGCAGAAAACTAGGGGATGTGGCATCGTTAGAAGAAAATCACTTAACAGTTATCCAAAAACCTATGGAAGATTTAGTGTGTTTAGTTATAATCCATTAGACACTCCTTGCAAGAGTGACAAGATAGAAAATCTGCAAGTAACAAGTTTTTATATTAGCTTAATCTTCTTTAGGCTCTATTATAAGAGAAAAACTAATTGTCAATAACCACGTATTGAGATGCATGTGGTTACGGGTTTAATGTACAAGTGCAAATAACAGGATACACTCCTCAAAGAATCTTCTGATTTCAGCTAATCGATGTGGAGGAAGCTCCTTGATGTCCGTGTAATGACGGAACTCAGGGTCATCAGCACAAACTGCTATGATCTTGTCATCCCTCTCACCCTGCAGTAGAAATAATAATGACACCAAATTTCTCCAATGTTCTACTAATTGGTGACAAAACTATTCAAATTGTGTGATGTCCAGAGGCAAGAAAATTATAAAGTAAACAAAAATTGCAGTTCTCTACACTCTCGTTGACATTAATTTAACAATGTTCCTTGCAACCTACAATTTTATTTCGTTGCTCCCAAGGAACGAACCTCCTTCTCAATCTGACACTCCCAGCTCAAAATGGACTACGGATCGAAAGGTTAACGGTAACAAATTTCACCTGTCACACCAACTACGTGGTTTTGTTTATCATTTCAATAGACTTTGATGTTCAACACACTAGTACTTGCAGGGAAGCAAATAATTAACAATATAGCATTTTTTTTCCCAGAATAGACCCTCTCACCCTCACTTCTATTTTATTGTCCAATGCAAATCTTAGTGAAAAACAGAAAGCAAGGACGAGACAACTTTTACCTGGTCAATCATGGGCATTAGTCCTATAGCGCGAGCACGAAGGAAGGTACCAGGAAGCACGGGCTCCTTCTCAGAACAAAAGTCCAAATTTTAATACAGTTGATATTTTGGCCAGAAACGGACATTCTGCTAAGTATCAGGAACAAATAAAATTGAAGCATACCTGCATCAGAACCAGCACGTCCATGGGATCACTGTCTTCACAAATGGTTCTTGGGATAAAACCATAGTTGTGCGGGTAGACAACAGATGAGTAAAGAACTCGATCAACCTAATTTGTTCAGCTCTTTCGTTAGTGTATTATTTATGCTTCAGTACAGACAGGCAACAATGATAGATGATAATGCTACCCCATTAGAAGAAAGTCTTTCATCTTTTTCAAACACATCAAAGCATATGGAATGGAAGAAGGGGAATGAAAGTATGAAAATCGAAACCACACCTTTATAAGTCCACTTTTCTTGTCCAACTCATACTTGACCTTACTGCCTTTGCCAATTTCAACCACCTGCCATGGAAATTGATTTATTTCTCTAAGAAAAACCGTTGGGAAACAAGAGTTCAATGAAACAATCTATGCAGGAAAAATGTAAGATTCTAAGTTCCAATCTGTTGTTGAGATCGTCTTATTTAATCACAGCCTCATCTCAAGTATAAAAGGAGGGTTTCGTTATCATCGTATCCTTGTTAAAGCTAAAGCACTTTTTTTCTAGCTGCATTCAACAAATCTGTAATATTTGAATGATTGCCAGAAAGAAATTAATACAAGCCCCGAAACTCAGATGAACACGATGTTGCGAGATGCGTCCTGAAAAGGATTATTTTTTTCTAAGATTTGCGAAAAGTTACAAAACAGTAACAGCTTACACAGTTGAAAACAGACGGAGCTCCTGGCCCTGCATGCAGAAAAACAAGTTTCAGTCCAAATAGTTTTTTTTTTTGAAGAGGAACTCTTGAATCACAATAATTTGCTCTTTAACTAGGAGAAAACAAATACAACAGATTTCTTTTTTTCCAAAAAAAAAAAAACAAAATTCATTATAATTAAAAGCGACCCCCCAAAAAATCGTACAAAAGTTGGTGTACCAATCTCTAAGTCGTGCCAGGGGTGAGCAGCAACAGTTCTCCGTGACAGAGAAGAAAGTATTCTTTCATTAAGCTTTGGGTGAGGTAAATCCGAATTCCATGCACTTGAATCTTCATGGTGAGCCATATCGACTTAACTACATCATCATCAAACCCATCACACACACAGGCACAAAGAAGACACTATCAGTCCGAATCATTTCAATCAAAACAACAATCAGAAGAATCCACCTCATTTCTTAACCAGATTGATTCCAAAAGACCTAGGAATCTGTGTGTACGAGGTATATAGTCATGAAAAACCGATTCAATAGACGTAGCTAACTAACAGAGCATCAGGTTAAAATAGACCCCGGGACCTCAAAAAATAGCATTATTTGAAAAATGGTGATTACTTTTTTTCAGGTCTACATATGTTGCATTAGATCATGAAGCAAAAGCAGGAGCATAACAAAAAAGGAAGGCGAAACAAAGCATAAGGAGCGAATCATAAAAAGGAAAGAAGAGAAATTGCAGCAGAGTGAACCTTTTGCCTTATTGGGGTCCAAAGGGTTAAGGAACTTGTGAGACAGACAGAGATAGAGACAGATATAGAGAGAGACTGGGAGGAGGTGGGTGAAGGTACGAAACAAGCAAAGAATATAACAGGTGATGTATGTATCTATCAGACGGTTCAGCAGCCAATCGTGGAGTGAATCTGTGTCGTATGATTAAAGTGCGCTTTCATCAGACGGCTACGGATTATAACAGAATATTTCGATTTCAGACATCGTCATAACATGGTCTTGTCTGTGCTCACTGCTGGCTGCTGCAAAACTATCATAAGGATCTTTTTCCTTTCCTCTGTGCTGCCTGCTCAAAAAAATACTTTTAAATCAAATTATTGACAATTAAGTCACGCGTGTAAATATATTATAAGTCATTTAATTTATAAATTAATTAAATACAATTTTCAGTTTATCAAACTAAAAATTTAAATCAGACGAAAAGGTTAAGAAGTGATCAAATATAAATTCAGGCAATAGTGATATAAAGATTCATTGAAAAATGCAAACAGTGATCTAAAAATACGTGTACGAGAGTCAGCAAAACCTCCCTCTACCAAATTAAAGAAAACGCGTATGTTGTCTACCCATACCCAGTTATAGACTAAATCTAATCTGTTTATTTTTTTAACCTATACAAAGCAATTCAATCTTATTTTAAATACTGTTTTGTTACGTATAATCATGTATATTTTTTTTTTCTTGCAAACAATTTGACTGACAAATCATAAATATATTTATTTTCAGTAATAATAATAATATATTTATTAAGTATAAAACTGATTTTAGTACGAAGTTATTACTATAAAATCATAACTTTAAAAGTGTAATTAAATCATGAGTTACCATTTGTAAAAAATATTAGTTAATCCATTAATATTTTTCAAACTTATAAATATTTTATGTCTTTTAACTAAAAGGCATTTGTAACTTTTAATTTGACTATTTAAATTGAGAAAGGAATCTTGATATTCGTCTAAGAAGTAGAATACAGGTAATTCAATTCAATTCAATTGTGACAAGTTCCAAAAAAAGTAGCCACATTGAGATGCTTTAATGAAAGAACAAGTCTAACAAATATGCATTAGGATTATATTGCCAAACCTTCAATTATAGTGTTTCACAATGTGAGTGCTATTATGAGGTATGCTAAAACTTTTTAGCTGAAGTTTAATTGTTAGTTTTTTATGATAATTTTTATTAGAAAATCCTACACAAATGTTCGAGGGCGAATTAACAAAGTTAACATATTATGAAAACTATAATAAAATTTTTTAATACTTCCATATTAATTTTCAAATTATATACAAAATTAACATTACAGTTTATCCGGTATATATAGTTAATTTTGACTGTTTCAAATTTCAAAATAACATACTCAGGTTAATTATCTTATTTCAAATGTTTTTCATTTTATAATTAGAATTTTATTATTATTTTATTTTTAAATGACATCTCAAGAGAAAAAAATGTATTTGAATTATTTTTAATGTTAAATGATGTAAAACTATATAATATATTGAAATACAAATTGTTAAATTTGGTAGAGTAATAAGTTAATTTAGGAAAAAATAAATATAACATTCTCCAACTTTAATAACTATTAATCCGGTCCTAATAACTGTAATTGAGTTATTTTTATTGGTGTGTAATTAAATTAAGGTAGAAGTATCTTATAATAATTAAGAAGAGATTATGAAATATTGTGTGCATGCATTTTACTGATGAGTTTTATTCAAACATCTTACCAACAGAAGTAGCTGATGGATTAAAGTTATGTATATTACTCTGCATAAAGTGGTACACTTTTGCTAAAAATGTTGACAATTAGTTCCACATTTCTGAATATAAGAGAAGAAACAGACTCTTATTTAAGTAATTTCCTTTCTGATCTCTACTAAAATATTTTTCTTTTGACAGGGTTCAAAAGGAATCACGTTCTTCAACTAAGACGTTATCAGTGCTGTTCGTATGATATTGACATTCTTAATTTTCTGAGTGAGAATTCATCCTGTAATGACATCCAAGTTAACCTACACATATTGCCGATTGCCAGAGTTTTTTCTGTAGGTGCTCATGAACTTGGCCACAAATTCTGCAGAGAAGAGCAAATTAGTAAACAATATTATACCCAGAACAGCAAGTCTCAGCAGGTCATTCAGTTGTATGAATCATTGTATTACATATGCAATACAATGATAATGTTACTTTTGCAAGGCAATCTATAGAGTTAGCTTAAATGCAATTAGAAGGGTGATTTTGCCTTACCTTCTAACTTTAGTAAAGCTGTTATTCCTGGTGGGAGTCTTCTGTCCTGTTCATTATAGACTTTGGTTACTAATTTCCCAAAAAAACAAACATGAAAGGATGACAGAGATTGTCTAGAATTAAATTGAAAAGGGTAAGTAGCACAGAGGTATGTTAAAAATGTGTCAATTCTGTTTTACAATTTACTATCACCTTCAGATAAACTATGGAAGGAGAAACTCACATAATAGGCATGCCAGTAGTATAGCTCCCTCTTTAAGCTGGCATCAATTCTTTTTAAGAGATGTTCTACGAGTTTCTGCATGTTTGAACAGAATGTACTTTATGCACTACTATTTTGATGAGTTGAATAAATTATTTATGGACTCTTATTGGTTACCAGGAGAATCAATTTCGGCTGGACAAAATCCAAGAGAAGCATTTGAAATTTCCCTCGAACTGAGAGTAACCTGATAAAACCATAACAAAATATACATTAAAAACTTAAACCATAATCAGATTGACAATTTCAAGCTGTTACTTAGAATAGAAGTAAAACATGTGAGTCTTATTCCGAACCCGGATAATAAGAAGCTATTAGCTTCTGATTCTGTATTTTAGAACATAAGATAGAGAAATTTCTTGCCGTGAATATGATGGATCAGCTAGGATCTCTGTGGCAACTTCTATTACGATCTCCTCCCATACAACTGAAATTGGTTGTTCTTCTGAAAATGGATAGCTGTCCATCATAGTACCCTATTTAGTCTATGGAGACAATTTTCTAGGAATGTTAAAGTAAATGTTTCCAGCCGGAAGCTCTTACTTGTGTGCTTTGCATGCTTCCAGAGCCATGATTGCTTTTCTGAGGTTCTGCTTAGATTTTGTAGCAATCTTCGCAGCAAAGTTCATGGACAGATCAAATTTCTCATTCTTTGCTATCTGCATAAGAACCTCAACAACCTGTATAGTTGAAGGTTCATGAGTGTTAATTAGTTATGCTTTTGTTGACATTAAGTTAGTTCCCTCTCAGAAGTTATACGATCATTAATATTAATAGAAGGAAAGTTTGATCTTTTCCAAAATTTGAATTGAGACAACAAAATAAATGATCTAGGAAATAAGTACACATAGAAGTGAAAACAAAAAAGAAACTATGATTTGATATGTTGTAGATCGATGTTAACTTTTACATATTTCAAAATTTATTCTTACTTCGTGAGTTTGAGGAGCATCAACTTGTACCGTTTTGAACCGATTTTTCACAGCATCAATGATGTCTGCATCATCTTCACAGCAGAGTACTAATTTGCATATATCAGAATAGCGGTCTACTATCCATTTGATAATGTGCTGAATGTTATCTACAGCTTTGTGGACATCATAAAGAACTATTACTGAAATTCAGAGAAACCAGCCACATTAACTAGACTCACATAAAGGGTAAATCTGTTTAGGAAGCTAGATAAACAAGTAATTAAGCTACTAACCTTTAAAATCTGACTTCAAATTAATATTGCTTACTTCAGGGGCAATAGCATATATATTGCTTATTTCTTTGATTAGTCCCATTAAAGCATATTTAGCATTTGGTTCTGAATTTACATCTAGCTCCATGTGATGAGGACTGGATGTTATGGGTACAGAGACTTTCTTAAGCCTTTGGTCCTGTCAATTTGGTGAAAATGCTGTGACTTAAGGGATAGGAGATGCTACTTTTTGATATAATACTCATGAACGGTTTTTTTGTTTTCACATATCAAAAGCTAAGTTAGGAAAGCGAGAAATCTCTACCTGAATAGGGAAGTGTCTTAAATCATGAGACAGCTGCAAAAAGGGTCTAATAAAGTCAGGTTAGAAACACAAAACACGTCTGAAAGGAAAATTATGGGAAGAAACATACATTATAACATGCATCACCATATATTTCTCTAAGAAGAGCCATTGCTAGCTCTCTTTTCCCGGAACCAGAGGGTCCTTTGAGCAAAATATGAGGGCAAGAGCCATGAGACACCTGAAAAGTAAGATAGCTTGAATCATAGTTATAAAATTTACAAGTTCAGTATAAGAAGAGGACTAAACTATGCAATTCTTCAGGTGTTTTTGTTATTATTCTTCAATCAGAACTAAAATTTCACACCAATAAAGTAATATGCGTATTGAAAATCTGTACTGCAATTCTAATTGAAGAACATCAACAGAAAAAAAAAACACTTTTTTAATTCTATGTCTAAGCTTTGTTCACATGGAAACTGAGATGTTTTGACTAGACATAAGAAGTTGAGTACATTAGAAAATTTGAGGCACTAAAACAATTAAGGACAGAGTGAAAGGCATATGAGAACATATGGAAACATACCAATTCCTTCAGAAGTTGAGCTTCTTGTCTGTTGCAAATGAAGCCATTAAGTGAAGCAGGTTGGTGCTTATCTGCCAAGAATTGTGGGAGGCTTTCCACTACCACTGCTCTCTCAATGTAAGAAGATTCGTCAATGGGTCGACGTTCAGGAGATTTTGTAGTGGTTCTACAGTTACCTGTTCTCATGCAAGCAAACCATGTATCTTTCTGGTTCTTTTTTCTGTTAGCTGTGAATTTCCTCATGCTTGCGGTCGTCTTTCCACTACCCTCGCTTGTTACACTACTTGTCTTACCAGTGACACTTCCCTTTCTACTCGTGGCAGCAGAACTCAAACCCGTGGTTGATTGAGACAAAATATTCATATTCATGTTAAGATCACCGTTATTTCCTTTGCTTTCAGATGGTGTTCTCGCGGAGTTCACCGTTGGCATTGGACTGAAATACTCACTCTGTTGGATGCGTTTCGGCAACGAAGAATTCCTCCCTTCAAAGGCATTGCATTCACGAGAAAAGAAAAGGTCACCGGGTTGAATGGAATCAGTGCTTTCAAGCACTGATGA